TAAATCCACTCCGCGATTATGTATATATTGGTACTGTCACATTATTATCTTGCGTGGAAAAAAGAGGAAAGTAGCTTTGACTTGGACCTATATATATAAAGGTCCTAAAAACTAGAGAGGGGATCTCGAAGAGAAAACCCTAAGAACTCATAAAAGGAACGACAAAGGCTATGGCCGAAATTCAACCTTTCAAGCCAAGAGCTTCGAGAAGTATCTTCGCAAGCAAGATCTCTAGGAGGCTTTTCATTCGATCTTTGCTAGAAACTCAGGTTTATTCTTGTATTCGACGATGTAATCTGGAAATTACGAATCAATAAAGTATCTCTTCAAGCGTCAATCCGTATAGCCGTATTCATAAGAACTGGTTAAAATTTGCCCAAACAGTTTGGCGCTAGAGGGAGGTTCGACCCCTCCTTCTAGCGCCAAATTATTTGGGCAAATTTCGGCCATAGTCTTTGTCGTTCTTTTTATGAGTTCTTAAGGTTTTCTCTTTGAGATCCCCTCTCTAGTTTTTAGGACCTTTATATATTTAGGTCCATGTCAAACCTACTTTCCTCTTTTTTCCACTCCAACGTAAATGTCACTGTGTTTTCTTGTTGGAATTTGAATCCAGGAAAGTTGGGAAAAGAAGGATTCACCTCGGTAATTTCTTCATCTTCTATGGAAAAGCCAGATGACAAAATTTTTGTCAATCCTTTATTGGTTCTAGTTGAGCTCTATCTCTTTTCTTTGTTACTATTCTTGATAGTGTACAAAGTCTAGTTCCCATAGGTTTATAATGGACGCTCTGAGAGTGATCATAGATTGAATTGTGTTTCTTTGACTCATGAATTGTATTGCTTCCTGGTTTCGTTGATGATGTGACCAGAGCATTTTAACTTTGGCTTTCCATACTTGGTCGTAGTTGTTGCCCCCGATTCCCTTATCTCAGGTGACATGATATATTATGCTCGTAAGCTTTGTGACAATCCATCTCCAAGTCTAGTAGAGAGTGGAATTTGTAGAATATTTTTTTACGTTGGTGATGCTCAAGATTCCTTTAGGTTTCGTCAAAGGAACTTCCAAAAAACTAATGGTCATGAATCTCTTATGAGATTATGGTGCACGGAGCTCTTTTTGATCTATGCAAGTGGGGGATAGTGCCTTCTTTATACATTGAGGTTGCAAATATCATTAACGTTTCTCTAGGACAATCTACTCCCATCCCATAGGATGTTAGTGGTAATGGCTCTCAAGGTTTCTCAGAGAATTATTTTACGTGACTATAGGCATGCCGTGTCTATGGGGTTGGAGAAGAGGCATTTGCCTCAGGGCCCCGAGTAATATATAAATTTTAGAGGCCCCAAATTTTCGAAAATTATCTATAGTGTAGTGGTGATCAATATTTTAGTTAGGCCCACTTTAATACTAGAAATAGGTCTCGCAAATTTGGAGACCGTCGCTTAATTGAAATCGAATGGCCCTATTTTTTATCTCGCCTCAGGCCTCTAGAAGTCTTAGCATGACACTGACTATAGGGGTGGATGATGCTCTTTTTATTACGTTAATCTCATGACATGGACTATATCATCCAATTATTTGATCCACACACGGTCAGACTTAGAGCTTTTTTCTCTAGTGTATGACTAGGTAGAAACAAGACCGGAAAAGCTCCCATTTATACCAGCCGTCTTTTTCTCTTTTTCTCGGTATTGACGCATATATTAATAGCAATAATTGTGAAGAGGTAGGTGTTTGTTCCTCTAAAACAATTAATTTCATGCCGAGTTGCGTTGTTTCCTTTCGTACTCAATCATGTGTGAACATGTCGATAAGCTTTGAAAATTATGAGATTTTCTGTAATGATTGTGACAGTGTTTGTCATAGTCTACTGTAACTTTTTGTCAGTGACTGTAACCTTTGTTGTTATCTATTTTTTAAAGAAGAGATCGATGAGATTCATCGGTCATTCTTTTTACTCAAAGAGCATATGGTGTTTATGAAATGTTACTCCATTTTTCTAACGTGGCTTCGATAATATTTTGTGCAAAGTGTCGACGTATATAGGATATTTGTCGTCTTCAGTGTCATTCAATAAGAATGGTGATTGGTTTGTTTAATTTTCCATGACCGTAGTCCATGGTCAATAGTAGGAGCCTTTTTGCTTTATTTTCAAGACCGTAGCCTCTACTTTTGCTCCCTTAGAAACCTCTGTCTTTTGATTTGTTTCGCACTAACAATAGTTGTTTTACACAAGGCAGCGTTTCTATCTCTCTTTCTTTCAATAATGGTCGATAAGTATCTATATCATAAAAGCTAGTGATCATAATCACCGCCTTTAGTGTAGAGAGCTTTTTCTCTCCTTAAATTTGCAGCGGCTATAATCATTGCTCTTCGTTTAGGAGTAGGTTTTGCCTCAGATTTATTACAATGACCACATGCACTGTCGTATTTTAAGAGGCTTTGTAGTAACCGTCGTAGTTATTTTGTAGTGTCGTCACTTCTCTTTATTAGAAGGCTATTGATATAACGCGTTTTTGGCGCATTCTAACATTTGTTTTGTAGGATTTTATCGAGTCTATCGTTCTCTTTCGAGTCATTCTAGGTATAAAAGTTG